TACACAAAACATGCAGATCTGATGGTATAGGTGTAATTTCTCGAAAAATAAAAGTGTACTCCCAAACTGGCTTCGGGTGTTTCTCTCAATTGTAAAAAAAAAAAGAAATGTCTCACTGTCTCTTGTTTACCTGTTGGTTTGGAATTCTTTTCTGTTTTTCAAGTCTTTAAGAACTCAACTGAACCAACTGACACTTCAAATTAACGTCTCATTAGTCTTCTTCCTCTATTTGGAAAACTACTAGAGGCCTTAATCAACTCTGAATTAGTTAAGATTCTCACATTGCAGAGCGTTCTTTCAGACAATAATGTACTAACGATTATTTCTGAAACAGTCTATCAAACTTTAGATGAGACCGGTGAAGCTCGGCCTGTTTCTTTGGACATCTCAACAGGGTTTAGCATATCTGTATTCTTTATAAGTTGAAAGGCTATGGATTTTCAGGATAAATTTTTAAACTGATTCGGTCTTTCTCATCAGCTTACAAAATGAAAATTGTCCTGAATTCAAGACCGTTTTGTACTAATCGCTCATTATTATTTATTGACCAATCGGTGGGGTTGTTTCAAACGCAGTTCACGCTTTGAAAAAGCAAATAACTATTTCTTAACGTATGCTCAAAAATGAATTTTTCGATATTAAACATTGGGAAATATATTTATTAATAAACAAAACTTTGGAGTTTAATAATTCTATCTTGTAACATTTTGTGATCAGATTTTTCCTATAAATAGTGTAACGTAAATTAATTAATCAGTTTTTGAATATATCTTGGTCCAGGGTATTGATTACTTAAATTTTAGCATGCTCAAATGAATTTATTGAGTCCTAAAGTTCACTTGTGTAAATCTTTCCCGTTTTAAAGTATTTTCATAAAACAATTTACATAATTTAATTTTGTTATTAAAATATGCAAGTAACACATAAACAAAGCGTAATCGTGTTTTTGCTGATACTTAGCTGACCAGCCTGCCAAAGCAAAGTTTACAAGACGCATTGTTAATATGACGTAAATTGTTGATTTTCCTATGGTACGTTCAGACATACCTGTCAACCTATCCTAAAACAATACATGTATTTTGTGTAATGTAAATACATTTTCATATGAACTTTGTGAGGAAATTTATGACTTTTTGCTTTCAACTTCAAATAAATCTTATGTTTATACTCGACAATTTGTAAAGAAAAGGAAATAGATTCTTATTTTTTTAATCCGACAGATTGTTATTAGTTAAATGTTATTTTTAGTGGATACTCGTAATTGTGCAAACGTTCCGTTTATTTTTTAAACAATAAAGCTATTTTCGTCTACCAACCTCTATACACGAGAGCATATTTTTATCGAATAAGCTTTCTGATAATAAGCGATAAAAAAATATTTAAATTTACAGAGCTGTGTTTGAGTATTATTTCTTTTCTTTGCTCTTTACACACACCTTTTCCTCTACAGATATGAACAGGCTGAGATAGATAGATAGATAGATAGATAGATAGATAGATAGATAGATAGATAGATAATGTACACTCTGAGAATAGGTAGATAGACAGACAGTGTACAGACTGAGATAGATAGATAGATAGATAGATAGATAGATAGATAGATAGATAGATAGTGTACAGACTGAGAATAGATAGTGTACAGAGAATAGATAGATAGATAGATAGATAGATAGTGTACAGACTGAGAATAGATAGTGTACAGAGAATAGATAGATAGATAGATAGATAGATAGATAGATAGATAGATAGATAGATAGTGTACAGACTGAGAATAGATAGATAGTGTACAGAGAATAGATAGATAAATAGATAGATAGATAGATAGATAGATAGATAGATAGATAGATAGTGTACAGACTGAGAATGGATAGATAGTGTACAGAGAATAGTTAGATAGATAGATAGATAGATAGTGTACAGACTGAGAATAGATAGATAGTGTACAGAGAATAGATAGATAGATAGATAGATAGATAGATAGATAGATAGATAGATAGATAGATAGTGTACAGACTGAGAATGGATAGATAGTGTACAGAGAATAGATAGATAGATAGATAGATAGATAGATAGATAGATAGTGTACAGACTGAGAATGGATAGATAGTGTACAGAGAATAGATAGATAGATAGATAGATAGATAGATAGATAGATAGATAGATAGATAGATAGATAGATAGTGTACAGACTGAGAATAGAATAACCAGATAAATAAATCTAAAAGAAGAAAGACTTAAAAAGAAACTTTGACAGAAACCTTTATCATACTGACTGGGATAGAGATTTGGTATAAATATGTCTACCGCATCGATTGGTACTGATTTTGTGCACACATTAATATCAACCAATTAAATTAATATGACGGTGATGACCAATGTCAACAAGTGCGATTCAGTCACGTAAAACCATTAACACTCGAATCCTCAGGGTGAGATTCTATCAGTTCCGATATATTAATTTGATTAATATCTTATCCACCCTATATCACGTGACAATCATATCGCCTGAAAGAAGATTTTCTGATGTTAACGAGACGATGACAGTAACGTTTAATAACTATCCATTGCGATCAAAACGAGGCTTTTATTTAAAATTGTATCAACAAATATTTAAGAAAGAACCAGATGGCCTTTTTCCAAAAATTACGTCACAATACATTTAAGAATATTTAAAGCTCAGTTGATAATGTTTTTGTATTGAGAATATTTTGGTTATAATAGAATTTATTCTGAGAACTTTTGTACTAGAAAATGATTTAAGGTGTTTGTAAAAATGATTCGATTGTATTCGGGATCATCGAGTCAATGCAAACGACCCTTTCTCCAGCTGCATTATATGTGCTTCGCCAGGGCAACATGTAGGCGGTTGTGCTTTAAGATAAAGAGAGAGAAATTATTCTATAATATCTGTAAAAGATCGAATCAGGGAATACAAATCGTTCATTTAAAACACAAGACCTATAAGAATTTCATTTTTAACCCAGACAATTTCTAAAGTTTATACCAGGAAGAATTCTATAAATTTTCCTGTCGCATATTGTTGTGATTCGCATATTATTTTGTCAGGAATATGTTTTAGAATAAGGAATTTTATTTGTTTTTAAAAAAGAAAATATAAGTATTCAAGAACAATAACAAGCGAAAACAATCGATTATTTATGTATAGATGGTTTCGTCTATATTAAAATCTTGTTGCTAAATGCTTTGTGTCTCGATAAGTTGTGTAATTCTATTACATAATAACTGTCTCCATGGAGATTGTTTAGAGAGGTATATAGAAATATGAAAGGTTTTGTACGGTTCTTATTAAGTGTTTATTGAAAATATTTCACAATAATACTGCGAGTAAGGCTTCCGTAATATCTTACTGTCGAAAAAAAAGTGACTTGAATGTTATTTGTTTCTGTACATGTCAAAAACATCTGAATATGTTGACGCTACACATTAATATCAAAATCTTTCAAACCTTACATTTATGTTTTCTTCGTTCAATAAACGAACAAACGACGAAATGGAAATTATGATTCAAAATGATTTTATCTGTATCTACACCTACATTCTATTTTCCAAAAGATGAACTTCTGAAACAGACCTTAAAATACTTTACACATACAATCGTCCATAGAATTTACGTGGAAACATCGACTTCATTTATGATTATCACAGCACCATAATTAGTTTATCTCTTGGATCAGATTATTGACAATAGAAATCGTGGCAATTCCTGATGCGTTGGAATTTGTTTATCGATAAATTTCTGGACAGACAATGCAGTTACTAAATGCGGACCAGCCATTTTCCATACTGGCAAATTCTGGTTCTATTTCCACCAGTTGTGTTTGTGGTACATTATCTCCTTCAGTTTAAACTAAGCATTATTGCATTCCTGTACGGTTGGGAGGTTAGATATATTTAAGATAATACTAACGATTCGAAACGCTATCAAATTTAACGGAAATATTTCCTTATTTCTATTTCTTCCGTTGCTATTTAAATCAGTCTTAACGATACAGGAATTTAAAGACACGAAAGTCTGAAAATATATTCTAGAAATCACTTGACAGCAAATCTCGATATCTCACTAAAATAAATAGCGCAAAGCAATGTCAACTATATTGGTCACTTTCCTTATCTCCAGTATTTACCGACTACTCGTCAGTGACATAGAAGGTACAGGAAATGAGAATATTTCACTAAACCCGTTATCATACTTATTATAAAACCCAGGTTGTGTGTGTCTGTTCGTTTATATATTGGATCAGATTTCCTACATTTTTCTACCGATTTCAATAGGACTACGTAGAATTACGTTGCGGTGGTTGTGACAGCACCAAAAATTGGAAAAACACAATTGTTTTTGCACGAAATCAATTTGACAACACGATTAAGAGGCATCGCTGTTGCGAGAATGAAAGGAAGACAATTCATATCGAGTTATACTTATTATAAAAACCGAGGTTGTGTGTGTGTGTGTGTGTCTCTGTGTGTGTGTGTGTGTGTGTGTGTGTATTCGTTTATATATAGGATCGGATTTCCTACATTTTTTAACCGATTTCAACAAAACTTTACTTTTTGGGGGGGGCAGGTAGTGTTTCATATTGTCTTGTACACTTTCTTCTTTATTTTTACATTCAGAATGCTTTAAAAATTCCATTTACAAGACAATTGTTTATAATAAAATTCTATTCAATTGGTAGACTCATAACGATTGAAAACAATGTTTTTCTTTGAGTTTGGGTTTGACCAATTCGTAAAAAAAAAATAATTAGAACATGCGTGTCCCTCAAGCTTAAACAATAATTTTTGTCAATTTTATTTTTCAGCTTTTATGATGGTCGATATTTGATCTATCTCTTACTGTTACATCCCCGGGCGTTGAGTTTTAGCCTATTCAATTTTAGATAAACACACAGTGACCGACAGGACTCAATTCGCTTTTGCCGATTTTATTGTAACAGTCAATGTTTACAAACCCACATTTCTTCCCCAGAGAGCTAAACCTAAATTAATTTTTCCACAATGTCATCCACATTCAGACTGTGCTCTTCAATATGGCTAGATGTCTGGTTTCCTCTAATTAGGATCGAAACCTGAATTGGCGTCAGTCGGAGACTCTACCACTAAGCCGTCGGCAGGGATGAAGGTGAATTTTAGGCTGTTTATTTTAAGATAAACACACAGTAACCGACAGGACTCAATTCGCTTTTGCCGAAGAGTCTCGCTACATTTCCTCCCCAGAGAGCTCAACCGAAATTAATTTATCAGGAGCCTATATAATATCATCCATCCATATATATATATATATATATATATATATATATATATATATATATATATATATATTGATGGGGACATCTGCTCGATATAACATCGAAAACTTTACTGAAGAATTTTGGAGGAAGGCACTGTATTTAACAGGAAATTTCGAATTCTCTTTAGTTGCTGATTCGTGAATTCAAGGTCCAATTGAAAGTCATACACACATTCTACTTTTTTAACCTTTTCTTGCGGAACTTGCCACCCTCAACTGACACTAGAAAATATATCATATTTCAGAAATACGTGTTTGTTAGTTGTTTGTTTTGTTTTAGTTTAGTGTTTTGTTTTTATTTTTCTGTTTTTATAAGATGTTTTTTTTTTTCATTTTCATATGAATGTCCAGTTTCAACATCACTCTAAGTGGAATAATTTCAGTTCTTCGAATTTCTAATCGATTCACAATTTTCTCCTAGTCCATTGCACGTGCCCCACGTATTCCCGATACTACTATTGTTGTGAAGCAGAGGTTAGTACTAATCAGTCGCTAGACTCGTATTGCTAGTGGTTATTCTCGGTGACCACTTATAAGAATGTTCACTTCTGCATATGCAAATTATGCATACTAATTTGCTAGTATCACTACATCTCCCTAAACCTTAAGGGCTTTATCCATCTCGTAGCTCTTGTACTCCTTCTTCTGCCATTTTCCTCACTCTGCTCTGTTTCTCTCTCTCCCGTATTTCTTCCCCTGGGAGACCTCGATCTGTTCCAGTCTAGGCTGTAGTCACATGTGTTTTCTTGCATACTCTGGTCTTCATCTGAACTTTCAGAATCCTTCTGTCCCTCTTCCTCCTGCATTGTTTCCTCTGATGTTTCCTTCTGTAATGGTTGTTCTACCAACTCATTATCAGATGAAATTAACATCTCTTCGTCATTTCGTTCTTCCTCTTCACCCTGGGTCCTTATTTGGTCAGCATGGGCCAACCCACTATCGCCATTCCCTCTATTTATTATGGCTGAATTAGGGCCTTTTTGCATTATAAACTCGGCTTCTTCCGGATCTGCATCTTTGCTCTTTTTATACCACATCTTTTCACTTGTAGAGTATGACATAGTTATCAGAGCTCTAATCTGTCCCCCCATTAAAACTGATGGGCTTTCGAGTCTTCCCGCGTGTGGTATCGTCCGATAACTTAAAAGCATCCTCGGTAGAAAAACTTCTACTTTTTCTTTTTGCTGAGAGCATGCTTTCAGCCCCTTCTTTACAGTCTGAACCATCCTTTCTGCTAGTCCATTTGATTGGGGGTGGTACGGAGGAGTTTTATATGGTTTACACCCTATTTTCTCTAACCATACGTTAAGTTCTTCCTCACAAAATTTCTGGTGCATTATCAGATACCAAGGTTTTTGGTACACCATTTCTAGAAATACGACTCTTAGAATTTGCTTTATAGTGGAACTTTTCTTGTTTGCAACCCTTATTATTCCAGGCCAACCTGAAAAAGAGTCTACTAATATTAACAAGAGTACCACTCCATTTACATATGCATGATCCATATGGACCCTACTCCATGGCTCCACTTCTTTGGGCCATGAATGGAACTTGGCTTGTGTAAAGTTTCTTATTTCTTTAAATTTTTTACATCTCTTTACATAATCCTCGACGTTTCTTGAATAACCCGGCCACCAAGCTTCTAGTTTTATCCTTTTTTGTGTGGCCGCTACTCCACAGTGTATATCATTATGTACAATTTCTATTATCGGCTTTCTTTGTGTTTCAGGGGGAACTACTAGGTCCCCATTGCAAATCACTCCATGTTCTATTGTTAATTTGTGTCTTATTTCTTTATAAGGTCTTTCCGCCCTAGAACAATTTCCCCAGGAATTTTTTTCTTATTCTCGACACTATGCTACTTAGCACCGGATCATGTCTCGTTTCCCCAGCCATTCTGTCTAAAGACAAAACATCAGTCTCTATCAAGTGAAGGAACGAATCTTCAAATTCTTCCTCTGTTTTGTCTTTTGAGTCCTTGTAAAACCTCAATCTTAATAGTGCGTCCACATGTGGAATTGAATTTCCTTTGACATACTTTATATCAAAGTCAAATGCCATCAATCTTATCGCCCATCGTAGAATCCTTGATGTCGTGACTTTGGGTAATTCTTTCCTTGGGTTAAATATAAACTCTAATGGTCTATCATCACTTCTTAATAGAAATCTTTTCCCAATTAAAAATTGTC